CGCACGTCCCAGAGAAGAAAGCCATCGGCCAGAAGAAAATCCTAGAAAGGACTTGCCGCTAAACGTGTAACAATCAGACCGAAGAACGCGTCCGATGCATAAAGATCACGCAACAACTCGAACTCTACCACCGAGACACACATGTCCGACAACAACATCGAACGGTGGCTAAGAGCATCGGCCACACGATTAGAAGTCCCCGACCGGTGCTTCAACACGATAGTGAACTGCTGCAAGTAGGAAATCCACGTGGCTTGGTGTGCACTAATGTTGTCCTGGGAAGCGATATGTCGCAACGCCTCATGTTCAGAAAAGAGGACAATCTCACGATGAAAAAGATAGTGTCTCCAAAAACGAAGGGCCCGGCAAACGGCATAAAACCTGAGGTCGTACGTGCTATAACAAATCCGAGGGCCCGAGATCTTCTCACTAAAGTACGCAACCGGGCGCGTGTCTTGGATCAGAACCGCGCAATGCCAACCCAGGATGCATCACAAGAATGCTCGAAAGGTCGTGAGAAATCCGGCAACAACAAAACCAGAGCAGACGTGAGTCGCTGCTTGATCAACTCAAAAGCCTCGGCAGCCTATAGAGTCCACACGAACGACTTCTCGGCTAGACAATCCGTGATGAGAGCCATAATAGAACTAAAATGGGAGATAAAACAACTATAAAATGAAGCGAGGCCATGGAAGCTCCGAGCCTCTGTGATCATCGTAGGCGTCGGCCAGTCCTTGATTGTTGGGATCTTACTGTCATCCACCCAAATACTGGTTGTTGAAACAACAAACCCCAGAAAGAGAACGGAATCCACCAAAAAAAAAACCAATTATGGGGTGCCGCATAAAAAGACTCTGCTCGAAGAATCAATAGGACCTCACGCACATGTGTCAAATGCTCGTCCATCGTCTTGCTATTAATAAGTAAATCGTTGAAATAAATGACCAAACACTTACCAAGAAGATCCCTCATCGTCCGGTTCATCACTCGCATAAAGGTGCTCGGTGCGTTGGACAAACCAAACGGCATAACTAACCACTCGAAGAGGCCCTCACGAATTTTAAAGGTTGTCTTCCGCTCATCTCCCGGTCGAATACGGATCTAATGATAGCCACTCCACAGGTCAATTTCTGCAAAAACGGTCGCACCATGCAATTGGTCCAAACGATCGTCCAAACGCGGGATCAGAAAACGGTAACGAACAGTTATCTTGTTGATTGCCCGGCTATCTACACACATAAGCCAAGAGCTATCATTCTTTGGTATCAACAAAGCTGGAACAGCACACGGGCTGAGACTACCGCGAACGACCCCACGTTGTAGCAGCTCATTCACTTGTCGCCGCAGCTCCTCATGCTCGGCTGGGCTCATTCGATAATGTGGGCGGTTTGGAAGGGCTGCCCCGGGCACCAAGTCAATGTGATGTTGTATGTCCCGTAGAGGTGGCAAACCCGCTGGTAACTTGGTTGGAAAGACATCCAAAAACTCAGCCAACAATGGACGGATAGCTGCAGGAGTTGACTGCTCGGGAGATGTGTCTGAGCCCAACAACAAGAGAACAAACGGGGCGTCCCGCATTTCATCCACAAAAGCCGTCTGGGAAAGAAATAAAACTGGAGAAGTTGTCGACGGAGGTAAGGGACGAGGTGGAGCTGAATGTAAGACAACCTTAACACCCTCAAAAACTGAAAGTGTAACTGTTAGACGACCATCACGAGTAGCTTCTCGATCGAACTGCCAAGATCATCCCAAAAGTAAGTGACAAGCATCCATGGGAACCACATCGCACCAAACTCTATCACGGCAAGACGCACCAAGAGAAGGAGACGAGCACACGGCGGTTAACTGTGGCAGAATATCGCGTGGAATCCATGCCAATGTATACAGCCGCGGGTGTGGTTCGCTCGTCAGCCTGAGTTTGTCGATAGCCACCTGTGCAATCACATTTTCGCATGAACTCGAGTCAATAATAAACCGGCACACACGGTCACCAATCGTGCATGTTGACTCGAAGAGGTGATGTTGCTAGATAGAATCATCAGAATCCCCATGCGGTGCCTAGCACGCACGTCGAAGGACGAGAGTCGTCCCGATATCACCGTGATGATGCTCCACCGACTTCGAAATTTCCTCGTCAAAAATTAGCGGCCCATCATACACGGATTGGTCCTCCTGGTCACCCAATTCGTCGACCAACATCGTCCGCCCGACACCAGACCGAGGGCACGCCGACTGCCGATGGTCTATTTCACCACAGGGGAAACACCGCAAGCTGCCACCTTGCTGAGGACCGAGCTGTGTGCCTACAGTCACAGAGGAACTCCCCATGCCCGATGGTCCACCGCGGCCCGTTGCCATTTTTGACGTTGTCGCTGCCGAGCTACCAATACCCGCGGGAACATTAAGTGGTCAGCTCGCCGAAGATCCTGCCGTCGTGCTGCTAGAAGCTGGCCCTGTTCGTGCCGAAAAAAACACCAAGGTGGCCCGCCTTGCAAGCTGTTGCTCGGCCATTAATGCACGTTGGTGCGCGTCAAAAAGGGTGTCCAGAATAAACATATTGACGATATCCTAAATCGGTATGCGAAGCCCACTGATATATTGAGAAATTATTTGATCCGTAGTTTCACGACTATCGATACGTGTTAGCAACATATAAAACTCCTCCGTATATTCGTCAACTGATTGTGTTCCTTGTCGAAGGGTTTGAAATTTCTGATAAACGGTACGAACGTAATTGAAAGGCAAAAATTCTTCCTCCATATGTTTACGAAATTTAGCCCAATAAGTAATTTTTGATTTACCCAGTTGATGTCGCCTCCCTTCCAGTTGCGTGAACCAAGCCCAGGTATGTCCACGCAAACGAGTCGAAATAAGCCCAACATGGCGATCATCTGGTACGCCCTTGAAGTCGAGGACCCTTTCAATAGTAGTAAGCCAATCGAAAAATTCAGCGGCTTTGAGCCCGCCCGAAAATTCCGGCACGTCCACCCTGAAGACGAATTTCCAGCGGTTGTCTCCACCCTTAGCCACACGGCGCGGTCCACGCACTTCGCCCCAGTCCTAGCCGTCCTGGTGCTCCTCGTGTAGACCGCCATCATCGTTGTCTCTTGGCCCCGCCGGATGCCGAAAGGGTTAACATCCGACAGGGTGCCCTCGCTGCTGTCATAGTCGCGCGGCGAATGTGGCAATCGATGACGGGGCGCCCCGCCATGCCCTCTGCCGCCACGTCCGCCGCGATACCCACTGCGACCCCCTCGGCCTATCGGATCGCGGTCTGTCTGCTCTCTCGTCATCATGGTACGGATGGCCAGTCGAATTTCTTCGATCCCCTCAGAAAGACCTTCAACACAGCGATCCACTCGATCGATTTGGAACCCTAGATCATCGGTTCGGGCGATTCAAATCTTCAAGATGGGCAGCCCGTCGTTCGTTGTTGTTTCGTTTTGGCGGCATCTTCAATCGTTCTGGTCTGCTGATACCAACTGACGTAGATAAAAGCGTACGATGGGAAGAAGATGAATCATAAGAGATAAATTTTATTCAATACACCCTCCCCCCCCCATATATAGTCTCCTAATCTATCTCCTTATCTAACCAAAGCATAATAATAATAATTATTATTCTCCTAACAAATAAAGGCAACAAATAAAAGGAAATAACATGAGTAATATACGCAATAAAATATCTACTAGACCCGGAGCCGATCGTATGTCGCCAAATATGTCAATATGATCTCGTCACCATCAGTATCATATGAAAAACTTGTTAATTTTGTTACCACTATAGAAAAAAAAAAAAAAAATGGAAGATAGGAGAATTTGCAAGAGGGTTAGTATATATGGAGAGTGGTTCAAAGCAAATGGATGGAGCCTTTGATTTTAGATCTCACATATCGAGTAATCCAGCCAGCCATTCTATTGATTCTCAAACTCCATCTCAAAATCTTCAACCAAGCTCATCTAGAAAAGATTAACTTCAATCTATGCAGCAGAAACAATATGAGCCAATCGAGGAGATGATCCTTGAAGTTTCTTAGGGAAGAACAAATGTGACCCCCTCTTTCAAAATGAATTATAATTATCAAATATATTTTTGCCCTTTCATTTTTTAAATTGGACAATTTTACATGATATAGTCATAATTGAGACGGATTCATTAATCATTTTATGGATAATAATGGCTCTGTTATGAGAAAAGTTTTAAGCTAAAAACGTACGTCCCACAATTTAACATTTTATTCACTTATTTGTATTATAATTGTAAATATTTTCTAAGGCTTACAATATTTCCAAATCTTCCATGGCTGGCAGTAGTCCTCACCCGTGATTCGACTATAGACGCACACCCCATTCGAGTGTATCGACCAATTACATACATAGTTGCAGAATAAATCGTTGAGACTATTCGTGAAAACGCCGTACTTCCCCTCACCGCACGGCGTGCGAAAGTAGCAATAGAATTTGGTGTTGAACAACGCTGTCTTGAAACTCCATTCGTAGGATGCGCCATATCTAAGATTGTGGACTCCGAGGTTGTCGTCTGAGGAGTAACACTCGATCGAGGTTGTCTGGTTGGCGAATGTAAAGTAGTTCGTCACAATCACCCGCGACTTCTTGAACGGTAGTGTTATTCCTTGGGACGCGACGATGAGAATACTCGTTGTGAGAAGGTAGACTATTAGTGAAACTTCCTTCATTTTTGCTTATGAAAATGGATGGAGACAATGATGATTCAACCAAACATAAATATAAAGCAGCACGAAATAGAATATATATAGAAATGTCATTATTGTTTTTCCTGGATTTATGAGTTGGAAATCATATGTATTATATAGAATCTCAATCTTAGATGTCAAATTTATACTCATTGATGTTAAAATGAAATGTTTAATAGCATTCATACCATGACTGCATATATTAAGCAATGTGCACCAAAAAATTCCAAAATTTAACATGTTATTCAGTTATTTTTATTATAATATGTTCAATTGCAAATAATTTCTAAGGGTTACAATCTTTCCAAATTTTCCAATCCTGCCAGTAGTCACTGAGACCCCTGTATCGGCGATTCTCAAGGCTCACCCCGTTCGGCTGTATCGACCAATTACATAAATAGTTACAGTATACGTCATTGAGACGTTTCGTGAAAACTCCGTATGTCCCCTCACCGCACGGCGTACGGAAGGAGCAATAGAATTTGGTGTTGAACAACGATGTCTTGAAACTCCATTCGTAGGATTCGAGATAGCTAAGATTGTGGACTTCGAGGTTGTTGTTTGAGGAGTAACATTCGATCGAGGTTGTTTCGTTGAAGATGGGAATGTCGTTCGTTACAATCACCCGCGACTTCTTGAATGGTAGTGTTAAGTGTTGGGATGTGGCTATGAGAGTACTCGTTGTGAGAAGGTAGAGTACTATTAGTGAAACTTCCTTCATTTTTTGCTTATGAAAATGGATGGAGACAATGATGATTCAACCAAACATAGATATAAAGTAACATGAAATAGAATATACAGAATCCTATGTCATTATTGTTTTTTCTGGATTTATGAGTTTGAAATCTTATGGAGTATATAGAATCTCAATCTCAGATTGACGACTCAAAAAGTATATATTGTTTTTATCTATTATAATGGCCTCATTTTAGTACTAGTGCAGGAAAATGATTAAGAAAATAGAATATTAATAATTTTGTTCTAACAATTCATACATTCATTGAACATACAATTATATAGTATGTTCTTTTAAGAATGCTTCAATTTCTTTACAAACCCACTTTTTTTATTGTTGAGAAATTGGCCCTCTGATCATGTCTAGACCGTAATCCATCGATTTGAACTACATTTACGTCTCCGGTGACATACAAAACGTCGAGAGGAGTTCCGGCGGAAAAGGTTCTGACACTCAAGTCAGTCCACGTTCAACAGTAATATGGAAATAGTCTATTTTGCGCATGTATGTGTGTTGTGTAAAAAAAAAAAAAACGTGGATATTCATTTATACTTAGGGTTGCTTGGTGGTTAAGCGACTCCTAGTTAGGAAAGAGATCCTCACATATCCACATTTCTAACTGGATAGATTTTTGTATCTTGAGCAATGTTTTGAAAACTGAACCGGTCACCAAATCGATAAAGCTATCAGTTCAAGGGTTCATTGGCCGGATCAGTAGTCGAACCAGTTTATTTAATATATATTTTTTATTAATTTATGCGTGTAATATATAATTGTATATATTTTTTTATATTGTATAATGATATTGCCTAAATAAATAAAGGGAAAAAAATAAAGAATTGTGCATAATGAGATCGTACATATACAAAATGCCTTGTTGCTGTATAAGTTACAATGAATAAGTCTACACTATTTTTTTTTTTTTTTTGATACAAAGAAGGAGGTCGAAGGCCCAACCTACGAAGCTAGGACTCGTCGAGGGTAAGCCACTCCACGAAGTTCATGGTCAAGCCATTCACCTAACCCGGGGGGTGGTGACATATGAACGTGCAATCCTAAAGGCGCAGAAGCCGCTACATCCGCCATATAATCCGATGCAAAGTTAGCCTCCCGATGTATATGCTCTATCCTTAAGCACCAGTCGCTGCTCAACATGCTCCGAATTGCCCGAACAATCGAGTCATGGATTCCAAAATTTCTATCGGGGCCCAAGATCATTTTCGTCACACATTGACTATCAACTTCTGCGACCACCTTTCGGAACCCCTTCTCCCAAACTAACCGAAGGCCTTGAAACAAGCCCCATAATTCGGCCCCGGTAATAGTGCCAATTCCGATATTCATTGTGAACCCCACGATCCAACGACCTAGCTCATCCCTAATTAAGCCACCGGAGCTACATAACCCAGTATAACGGTTAGCGGTCCCGTCGCTGTTCACCTTGACCCAGCCCGGGTCCGGTGGGTGCCACTAGATCATCCGGAGCGTGTGCAATGTCACACCAACTCTTCTGTAAGCCGCTGCCGCTTTCAAGTAGCTCTCTGTCCGCCGGGTTACGTCATCACAGCGCGACTCACAGCTCAAATTCCGATGAGCGAAGACCCTCTCATTGCGCCAGCTCCAGGTCCTCCAAACAGCAAATGCAAAAGTGCTCGGCCAGTTAGCGGGCCGCCCCAGCCGCACTCTCCCCAAGTTCATCTTGAGCCAATCTCTCATATTCAGCATAAAAAATTCACCAATAGAATCAGGTGGTAGAATACTTTGCCACATGCGTTTAGTGGTAGGGCAATCGCGCAACACATGCATACTCGTCTCGGGGCACCCACAGGCATCACAGTCCACTACCGCCGTTAAATGTCGCCGGACACGCTCGTAATTAGTCAAGTTTCTGTCCTTAGCTACCAACCAGAGGAAAGTTCGAACCCTTTGCGGCACCGGGGCTGTCCATATCAATTTCCACAGAGGATGGGCCGGTTCGCTATCGGACTTCGCTAAGGCCATGTAGGTCGTACGTGTTGAGAAGTTACCATCGTGAGAGGCTCCCCACATGAGCCTGTCTTCACCAGCCGTGGCTCTCGGTGGCATGATCCCGACAATACGCATGATTATGGCAGACGGTAGACCACCATAGAAGGCGTCCCAGTTCCAATTACCGCGAGCATCCACGAATGCGCTAACGGTCGACTGGACAATTTGTTCCGGTGGGCTGTGAGCGGCATAATTAAGCAGAGGACCCAAAGTGCCCACCCATGGATCAAGCCAAAATCGCACCGTCTCGCCATTGCCCAGCTGCCACCGGACCTCCTTCACCATATCAGGCCAAATCTTACAAAGAGCCTGAAGAAGGGGAGACGATCCTTGGCGAAGCAGTGGCTTATCCAACCTATTTCGGGTTGTTAAACCATATTTTGCATTCATGAGTATCGCCCACAGTGAGTTGCTTCTCGATAAGAGCCCCCACCCTAACTTCATCAGAAGAGCAAAATTCATCTTACGAGAGTTCTTCAGCCCCAAGCCCCCGTCTTCTTTGGACTTACAAACATCCTTCCAAGCGACTAAATGGATTTTCCTCTTCTCCGTTGAACCCCCCCAGACAAAAGCCCGACATCACCGATCGAGGGTATCGGTGATGGCGTTAGGAAGAAGAGCAGCCTGCATGGAATAGTAAGGCAGTGCACTAAGCACTTCTTGGGAAAGAGTAATACGCCCCGCCATCGAGAGTGATTTCATACGCCAACTGGCTAGACGCGCCTCCGCCTTGTCCAAAATGTGAGAGAACGTCGACTTAGTCACACGACCATGGATTACCGGCACACCAAGGTACTTCCCTAAATTATCAGTCCCATGGAATTGTAGAACATACGCCAACCGACGTTGTTCCTCATGCCTAACATTACGCGAAAAGAACACTTGGGTCTTCGCCGAGCTCACTTTCAGGCCCGACAAATTACAAAAATACTCCATAATACGTTTCAGGCTTAGCGCCTGACCATCAGTAGCTTCCATGAAGAGGAGAAGATCATCGGTGAATATCAGAAATGGCACGGTTACAGCCCCTCTGCCAACAGAAATTGGTTTCCACGTGCTTTCTTCCACCGCTTTGTCTATAATCTGCGCTAACCTCTCCATACAAAGTACGAAAAGGTAAGGTGACATGGGGTCGCCTTGCCGAACACCTCTAGTGGGAAGGAATTCTTCCCCAAGAGTCACATTCCATGACAACCGCATAGAAGCCGACCGCACACAAGCCATGATCGCAGAAATCAAGATATCGGGGTAGCCGGCTAGCCGCAGGGTTTCTTCAATAAACTCCCACCGAAGGAAGTCATAAGCCTTCTCAAGGTCAACCTTGATGACCATGTAGCCCGTAGCCCCTTGCTTGTGCCGCATAGAGTGGATTAATTCGTGTGCCACTACGATATTATCGATAATATGGCGTCCCGGGACAAAACTGGCTTGTGCCGGATGAATCAAATCTGGAAGAGAGCACCTTCGTGAATAGCTTATATATGACATTGAGCAAACTTATGGGTCTGAAATGCTTAAGAGTAGAGGCATTCTCGATTTTGGGAATGAGGACGATTAATGTCTGGTTCACCTCTGCTGGGACTACTCCATCTCGCCACATGTGGCGAATGAACTCCTACACCGAGGGACCCACCACTTCCCAGTTCTTTTTGTAGAATAAGGCATTTAAGCCATCAACTCCGGGTGCTTTTAAAGCCTCCATGCCTTGCAAGGCCGAGACAACTTCCCCATCGGTTATCTCCACCGCCATGGCCTGCAACACCGACTCGTCACATCATGGGAAAAGACTAGGCATAGCCGCAGACCTCGCTGGTTCGGGACCTCCGGTGTAGATATCCCGGAAGAAGGCCGTGGCTAGATTACGGAGGGCAAGTTGGTCCGTCACAAGGTTACCCTCACCATCCTTGAGCTCCGTTATCCTTCATCTCCTACGCCGGAATTTGATTTGTCGATGGAAAAAGGAGGTGTTCTTATCACCCAAATGCAACCAATCCCTCGTCAATTTTTGGAGAAGAAGCAGCTCCTCCTGGAGGATGACATCGTCTAGCTCTTCGCGCAATTGTTTTTCTAGAATCACAAGGCTCTCCTTATAATAGAATTGCCGGCAACGCTGAATACCCCCGATTCGAGCAAGAAGCCGTTTCTTTCGGTGGAAGATGTTGCCAAAGACCGTGGAGTTCCATTCGGACGCCGCTACCGCGAATTGTCGGGCCGCTTCTGGAAAGCCCTGAGCAGTTTGCCAATTGTCCCGAACCATAGACGAAAACTCCGGATGAAGAATCCAAGAAGCAAGGAAGCGAAAAGGTTTCACCCCCTGCGCCTCGAAAGATTGCTTACCAAAGCCCACCATCAAAGGAGAATGGTCGGATTGAACGCGCGGGAGGAGACGGACCTTGCTCGCCTCAAACTGCTCAATCCACCCAATATTAGCAACAAAACGGTCCAGCCTCTCCATGACTCGCCTATGCGGCCCCTCCCGGATCCATGTAAATTGGTGTCCATCCGTAGCAACCTCTTGGATACCATTGGAGAACATCCAATCCCCAAACTTCGTGCTCGTGTTACAATGGTGAGGCGATCCCCCCGACTTCTCCGAGTGATGAAGAAGGCAGTTGAAGTCCCCCCTATAAGCCAAGGATCCACAATGCCCGAAGCAAGCTCTTCCAACACGGGCCAGAGACGTCGTCGTTTGACTGGGTTCGGGCTAGCATAGATGAAGGTTATTAAGCACCCTACTCCATCCTTGTCAACGCGAGCGTGAACTAACTGGCGAGAGTAATACAGAACCTCAAGCTTGACGTCTTCCTTCCATAGAAGTCATATGCCGCCTGCAAACCCCCAGGCTTCAATACGAAACGAATACTCAAACTTGCTATACCGAACGAAATTATCTGCCGAAGTCCCACTAATCCGGGGCTCAAAAATAGCAACTATATCTGGCTTATTCTGACGAACCA